CCATCTCACCTGTCCATGTCTCACCTGTCCGTGTCTCACCTGTCCATCTCACCTGTCCATCTCACCTGTCCATGTCTCACCTGTCCATCTCTCACCTGTCCATCTCACCTGTCCATCTCACCTGTCCATCTCACCTGTCCATGTCTCACCTGTCCATCTCACCTGTCCATCTCACCTGTCCATGTCTCACCTGTGTCTCACCTGTCCATCTCACCTGTCCGTCTCACCTGTCCCATCTCACCTGTCCCATCTCACCTGTCCCATCTCACCTGTCCATCTCACCTGTCCATGTCTCACCTGTCCATGTCTCACCTGTCCATGTCTCACCTGTCCATCTCACCTGTCCGTCTCACCTGTCCATGTCTCACCTGTCCATCTCACCTGTCCATCTCACCTGTCCGTCTCACCTGTCCATCTCACCTGTCCCAGCTCACCTGTCCATGTCTCACCTGTCCATGTCTCACCTGTCCATGTCTCACCTGTCCATNCCTGTCCATGTCTCACCTGTCCATGTCTCACCTGTCCATGTCTCACCTGTCCATGTCTCACCTGTCCATCTCACCTGTCCATGTCTCACCTGTCCGTCTCACCTGTCCCAGCTCACCTCGGGCTCCTACGGCTGCGGCAGCTCCGGCGGCTTCCAGGGGGGTCAGATCACGCTCAGCGTGCAGAAGGTAACCGGGAATTCGGGGACAATTCCAGGGATTTTGGGCAAATCCGGCAAATTTGGGCAAATTCCGCAGTTTTTGGGGAAATCTTCAGGAATTTGGGGAATTTTTTGGGGAATTTTGGGTGGTTTTTTTCCCCCAGTTTTGAGATTCCAAATGCAGATCGGGGTCAGATTTGGATGGAATTTCTGTGGATTTTTGGGATTTGTGTTGGAATTCTGGAATTTTGGGGTTTTTGTGGGAATTCTTTGGGAATTTTGGCTTTTTTTCCTGGGAGTTCTCTGGGAATTTTGGGATTTGTGGAATTTTGGGAATTCTTTGGGAATTTTGGGTGTTTTTCCCACAGTTTGAGATGCTGAACGCGGATTTGGGATAGATTTGGATGGGATTTTGGGGTTTTTTTCTGGGAATTTTTCTGGAATTTGGGGATTTTTGTGGGAATTTTCTGGGAATTTTTGGGAATTGTGGAATTTTGGGAATTCATTGGGAATATTAGAATTCTTCCCCCCCAGTTTTGAGATGCAGAATGTGGATTTGGGGCAGATTTGGATGGAATTTCTGTGGATTTTTGGGGTTTTTTTCAGGATTTTTTTGGGGAAATCTTTGGGAATTTTTGGAATTGTGGAATTTTGGGAATTCTTTGGGAATTCCGGGTGTTTTCCCCGCAGTTTGAGATGCTGAACGCGGAGCTGGGCTGGGTTTGGATGGAATTTCTGTGGATTTTTGGGGGTTTTTTCTGGATTTTTTGGGGAATTTTTTCGGAATGTTGGGAATTGTGGAATTTTGGGAATTCTTTGGGAATTCTGGGTGGTTTTTCCCCAGTTTTGAGGTGCAGAATGCGGATTTAGGGCTGGATTTGGATGGAATTTCTGTGGATTTTTGGGGTTTTTTTGGGGTTTTTTTTTGGGGATTTGTTTTGGAATGTTGGGAATTGTGGAATTTTGGGAATTCTTTGGGAATTCCGGGTGGTTTTTCCCCGCAGTTTCGAGATTCCAAATGCGGATTTGGGGCAGATTTGGATGGAATTTCTGTGGATTTTTGGGGGTTTTTTTCGGGATTTTTTTGGGGAAATCTTTGGGAATTTTTGGAATTGTGGAATTTTGGGAATTCTTTGGGAATTCTGGGTGGTTTTTCCCCGCAGTTTCGAGATTCCAAATGCGGATTTGGGGCGGATTTGGATGGAATTTCTGTGGATTTTTGGGGGTTTTTTTCGGGATTTTTTTGGGGAAATCTTTGGGAATTTATGGAATTGTGGAATTTTGGGAATTCTTTGGGAATTCCGGGTGTTTTCCCCGCAGTTTGAGATGCTGAACGTGGAGTTGGGCTGGGTTTGGATGGAATTTCTGTGGATTTTTGGGGGTTTTTTCTGGATTTTTTGGGGAATTTTTTCAGAATGTTGGGAATTGTGGAATTTTGGGAATTCTTTGGGAATTCCGGGTGTTTTCCCCGCAGTTTGAGATGCTGAACGCGGAGCTGGAGGGGAACCAGGAGCTGGCCAACTCCCGCATGGCCGAGCTGGAGAAGCTGCAGCTGGAGCTGCAGGCGGCCGTCAGGGGCCAGGAGAGGCTCAAGGTGACACCTGGGGACACCTGGGGACACCTGGGGGGATTGAGGGACACCTGGGGACATCGGGGACATTGGGGACATTTGGGACATTGGGGACACTTGGGACATCGGGCACATTGGGGACATTGAAGATTTTGGGGACATTGGGGACATTTGGGGCAATGGGGACATTGGGGACATCGGTGGGATTGGGGAGACTTGGGACATTGGGGACATCAGGGACATTTGGGGACATTGGAGACATTGGGAATTTTGGGGACATTGGGGAGATTGAGGACATTTGGGGACATTTGGGGACACTGGTGGGATTGAGGGACACCTGGGGACATCGGGGACATTGGGGACATTTGGGGACATCGGAAATTTTGGGGACATTTGGGGACATCGGGGAGAT